AGAAAATAGGCGGCGTGACAATGGTCACGTGACCCCCTGACGCAACAATATCAATTGAAAGGGTTTGACCTCCTGAGTCCAAAACTGTAATTATATCTCAAATATATCAAGAGATGACGGAGCTATGAGCTAAACGTTTCTAATGAAAACTCAGAGCTATTCGATGAGCCGTAATGCCGCGGCTAAAAATGTATATGGAATTTATATACATAAGGCTGTACAACTAAAACAAAACTATAAAGCCTGCATGTACATATATGGATATAAATACTAGCCAACATGACTGCATGTGCACAGATGTATAAAACTTATGCGGTTACAAAATTCAGTCCATGCACCATTTCAGTACAGTTCATCAATCTCTCCAATCCGGTGTTTACAGGCATAATGATAGATATAAAAAACTAAAAAAAAAAAAACAAGATTATTAACAAATGTTAATTTTAAAAGGAGGAATAGGGATCTTCAAGAAATTACAGAAACAAAATAAGTAGCTTAAAGTATAAATACAATTTCAAAAAATTAAACAAACAAACTTGAGGTTTGTGATATAGTGTTGACATTATTTCCTCAAGGTACAAATCGTTATTTCGACACAATTTCTAAAAGCTGTAATATTTTACTCAAAGCTTGTAATCTTAGAATGTTAGGTAAACCCAGCGAAAATAAATGTTTTTTTCTTCTTCTTTTAAATAGGCTTTAAAAATACTTATCTATTTACTTATCAGTAAATAAAAGTCCCTAGTGGCACAGCAGTAAGACTGGAGGCTTATAAAGCAAAAATATAAAAAGAAAAATGAATTTCGATACTTGTGGTGATCACAGAACAGATACCCATTTGTTTAGCTTTGTGCTTCACTGCAAAGAAACAAACAGTGAATAAAAAATTATAGATTCCGGAAATGTTATGCAGAGAATTGTAACGAACTCGGACAGCAAAGGAAAACAAGTAAACATTAGTGAATTAATACAACAGAAATCTTTATTCACAAAAATATCTATAACCAACTGCCTGGCTTTTATTTTTCTTATGGTTTAAACTAGGTGTGGACATCAGGCTAGAAAAAACAAACAAATGATCAATGCAGGACTTAAGAAAGAACTAATTGTGTGGGCAATCCATTTTATGGTCGGAACAAGGTTCTTGTTCTGTTGCAGTATTCCACAATACCTTAAATTACATACTCCAACCGCCATTTTATATAGACAATTCCAGCCAATTTATAAGTCTCTATATCGTGTTTGAGTAACCTAACTTTTCAGTGAGTTCTTGCTGAAATTCATTTACGCTAGCATGAGACTTTGGAAATAAAGTCGCGGAATGTAACCCCTACTGAATAAAAAGATTACTACATATTTACAGACTTGGAACATCCAGTCAACAAGGCTGTGATCAACTACCAGTTTAATAAAGAACACCTGCATAACAATTTATATAAATGACCTGATTATACCTTACTTTAAAAGTATCCTCTATATTAGTTACGAAAGGGTAAAATATGATGATACTAAATTATTTTATTTGTTCCAGGTTTTACAACATATATGCTATTTCAAAACAACCACAGTTTCATGTAACCAGGCCTACTTACTGTCTCTATAATTAATTAAACAATAATTATCCATTGATAACCACTTACTTTGAGCCATACATTTGGATTTCTCATTACTCTTCCATCTTATCGCGCCAAACCACTATTAGAGTTTAACATATTGTTTCGGTTTTGGAGAGTTATATGTAGGCATAGTTTTATTTCACATTCTAATTCTTTAGTTTTTAAAGTTAATAATCATGTTTGTAGTTTGTTCATTTCAATGTAGTATCTGTAGATGGATTAAACAGTCACAGTAAATAACCTTGGGTTTATCATGATGTTGATCTACTTGAATATCATATATAGATATTAAAATGGCGACTCAAACTTGGATATTCGTTTCTTTCTTTCTAGGTGTTTTAACCAAACGTTATGCATATACCATGCTGGAACGCAGTTTTGTCAGACTTATATCTGTACCGTAGCCAACAGATATCCATGCTGATGATTTGATCTCGAAACATGCAAGCTGAACTTGCAGTTAATTCACTCTATCTTTTATGGACTTTATCTGGCCTATATTAGTGTTGATTTAACACTCATAGTTAAAATAACGTATTTCTTTTGTGTTCATTTCTTTGATAATATTCAGCTTTTTTTTTCACAGTGTATCACACATTTTTAATGCA